TCTGTTCGGCGTCCGAAGCCGCCTGGGAGGCTCCAAAATCGCCCCACAACCATCCAAAAAGGGCTTCCAGGCGGTCCAAGAGAGCCCCAAAACGGCACAACAGTGCAAGACGGCCCCAAGACACCCTCCGAAGCATTCCAAATCGTGACCCGGTCGTTCAGGGAGGCCGCGGCTGGAAGCAGGGTGGCCCGAGGACCCCCCCAGAACCCCCAGAACACGCCCAGGAGGCCTCCAGAAGGCCTTAATAAAACCTGAAACTTTCGCGACGCCCCCAGAGGCTCTCCAAAGAGGAACCTCCGCAAAAGGTGTTGAGGAGGATGGGGGAACTGCGCAGGGTACGGCGGGAATGAGGAAAAAACATGGAGGAAGGAAAACGAATAACATAATTTCAGCGGCGATGCTTGAAAAAAACAACAAGGAGTCATCGCTAAATTGTCGGCTTGACCTTCGTGTCATTCCGCCTGCGTGCCAAACTTCAAAGACCGAGGTGCATGGCGCGAAGCGCCACATATCTCTCTCTATATATACATACATACATACATACATACATACATACATACATACATACATACATACATACATACATACATATATATATATATATATATATATATATATATTGCAACGCGTACCCTGCTCAACATATATTGCACCGCGTACGCGGCGCCACATGCGCCTAGATCGCAAGACAGAACCACCGCATCAATTGTGCACCGCATCGGTTGCACTGCATCGATGGCAGAGAATGTACGGCGAGAAGCACACTGCTTGGGGTCCACGCTCGGTACCATATGAAATATATATACACAAATAAATATATTCCCTAAGCGCTGTTTGATCCACGGTTCCTTTCTCCTGTTCTCAAAGAGTTCGGCGTGTCTGTCGGTCCCGAGGCTATGAAGCCGCCGTCGCCGCCCCGTCGCCGCCAATCGGTTGGGCCCGTGTTCCGGTCTGGCACCTGCGTTGCCGCCGTCGTCGCCTCGTCGCCACGCAAAACATACAAACGCAACGTATTTTGCGCCGCGAAAATTGACGCGCGTAGATTGCGCCTTTATTGCACCGCGTAAATTGCGCGGCGTCAGTCGCGCAGCGCGTGGATTGCGCAACGCCGCGTGTACTGCGCGGCGCAACAAGACCCGCTCCATGGAATTGCATAGATTGCGCGATGCGTAAATTGCACAGCAGACCGGGCCGCCTTTTGCGTGTTGTTCGTCCTTCAGAATTACCCCCGTTCACCCATCCTAAACGCGAACTTGCACCATCCCCGGCCGCCCTTCCCCCCCCATCTTCTGCAACAGAAAATATACGGGCTCGCTCGTCTATATGAAATCCAATTTCCGTGATTCCTAGCAAAACAATGCGTCGAACTGCGCGCGCGAGCGTCGTCGCGCGCGCGCCGAAATCTTCAAAAACCGTACGTGAGGATTTCAAAATTGAGTGCCTCCTGCTAGATTGTAACGCGTCTGTTTTGTTTCAGGGAATATTACATAAGAACCTGCGCCCACGCTCTTGAATCTTCGAGGGCGCCATGAGTTCTTTTGCGCGCTCGTCGCACGCTACCCATCGTACTTTTCACTTGCGGATGTCGGAATCATTCGAACGCCCTGGCGCGCGTGTTGTCCCAAGGGTTCGTTGCAAAATCCACGGCCGAATGCGCGCGCTCGTCGTGGGGCGCGCGTGCCGCAATCCTTCGATATTCTGATCGTTCGCGGGGGTTTCAAACTCGAGAGCCCGGGGGGGTTTTCAAACGCGTGGCTTCGCAGCCGCAGCTTCCGGAGAAAAAAAATCCGCGCGCGCTGCTGCGAGTGTGAGGAAACCCCGGATAAACAACAAACGACTGAACAACTATCGAACTCGACCAAACAGGCCTCTCGCGCCGCCTGTCGAAATTACTCGGGCGCTCTTGCGCGCGTGCTGGGGGGGGGGGGGCGCGATCCCTGTCAAGTGACGCTGTGCGGGCCACTTGCGCGCGCCGCCCGCGCGCGTGTCGAGCTCCTTCCAAACTTTTATCACCGACGCGAAAAACGCCGTCATCGTCATCGGCGTGATCAACATAGGCGCCGTCATTGGCCTTGACGTCGTCGTCGCCATCGTCGCCATCATCGCTGCTATCATCGTCGCGTCTGCCGTTGTCGGCGTTGCCATGATACCGCGCCCGCCCAAATGACCGGCTCGCGCGGAAGCGCCCGCTGGGAAATGCCCAGCGGTCAATGCCACCGCGGCCGCGTCGATCACGCCAAACTAGCTGGCCGCCGTGCGCGCGAGCCTGCGCGCGCCAGCGCGGCCGCGGAAGTGCGCCAGCCAGCGCCGAACGCTCATTGCAATCGCCGCCGCATGGGTTTCGCAAGCCAGGATGTGGGCGGGTGGGTGGGATGTTGGCGCGAGCAGTAGGGTTGACAATTCCGATCTTTCAAAATCAATTGCACCTTGTAGAATGCACAACCTAAGTTGCTAGTAATACATTGTGCGGGGCCCGCGCTGGCCAACGCGCGCGCACGCGCACGCGCGCACAAACAAGCGCACGCACACGCGCACGCAGACGCAAGCACGCACCCACATGCACACACGCAGACACGCACGCACGCACGCGCACACACATGCATACACACACGCACGCACGCAAGCATGCACGCACGAACGCATGCACACACGCACATACACGCACGCACACGCACGCACAAGCACGCACACGCACGCAGACGCACGCACGCACACACACACACGCACGCACGCACACGCACACACACGCGCACACGAACGCACGCATTCGCGCACACACGCACGTACGCATGCACGCGCGCACGCACACACACACAGACGCGCGCACGCGCACGCGCACGCGCACGCGCACGCGCGAGCGCACGCACACGCACACGCACACGCAGTCGCACACGCACACGCAGTCGCACACGCACACGCGCACGCACACGCACACGAACACGCACACGCACACGCACACGCACACTCGCGCACACGAATACGCACATGCACGCGCACACGCACACGCACACACACACAAACACACACACACACACGCACACACACACACGCACGCAAGCACGTACGCACGCGCACACGCATACGCACGCACACGGACGCATGCGCACGCACACGCACACGCGAACACACACGGACACACACGGACACACACACAAACACACACACAAACACACACACACACACACACACGAACCCACGCACGCACGCACGCACGCACGCGCGAACGCACGCACGCACGCGCGCGCGCACGCACACGCGCGCGCACGCATACGCACGCACACGCACGCAGACGCACGCAGACGCACGCACGCGCGAACACACACGAACACACAAGCACACACACACGCACGTACAACGCACACGCACAATTCGAACATCCACACACACACACCACACATACCACACATACCACACACGTTCAAGCCGGCGGAGCAGAAGAACCTCATTCGTGGACGGCAGATGGAAGTGCCACTTGCGAACGAACTTAGGCGAACGCGCGGATACACACATACACACACCCATTACACACGCATGATATATGTATGTATATACATACTAGAACCATCGCGCGCGCTTCGCGCGCGCTCAGGTTCTAGCAGGCCCCAGGCCTTGACGAATTCACTGCTCCACTGAAGTAGTGGACCACAGTCCGCGCATGCCAATCTGCATTCCGAAAGGCCTTCGAGGAAAATGGTTGTGTAGGGGGGCGGAGGCCGTGTGAATCGGGTTCCCAGAAGGCCTTCTGGGAGCATGGGTTTGGGGCGTCTTGGGGAGCCTGTTGGGGCGTGCCGTCGTCGTCGTCGTCGTCGTCGTCGTCGTCGTCGTGTTGCTACGACTCATTCCCGAACCTGACCTTGGGGGTGGCCTAACCTGGCGCAGCCCCGATTGGCAACAGACCCGACACGTTCCGTCCAAACTGAATGCCAGGTTCGCACGCGCCTAGCACGAAGGGACGGCAGCTGCGGTCGCCAATTGTCTCGCGCCGAGTCCGTGCGTTTTACTGCGGGGACCGGCTGATTTTTGCCTCTTGATGGCCCTCTTGCTTGGGGCCCTCTTCGGCCATCTTGAAGCCATCTCGGGCCCTCTTGGGCCTCGCTGAGGCTGTCCTGTGGCCCTCTAGGGCGTCCTCGGGAACCAGAAGTCATGTTCCCGGAGAGGCTTCCGGGAACATGATTTCGAACGGGGCCCTCTTGGGCCTCCCCGAGGCTGTCTTGGAGGCCTCCTGGGCCGGCTTCGGGGCCTCCTGGGCCGTCTCTCGGGGGGTTCGGTGAGCCCCAGAGGCCGACCCTTTTGGGCCGTCTGGGGCCCTCTTGGGTCTCTCTTGGGCTGTTTTGGGGCTCCTCGGGGGCGTCTGGGGCGCTGCGAAGACGAAGCCAGCAAGTATGCTGAAAATGTACGTTAAAAAAAAAAGGGAAAATTTTTGCCTTTTGAAGGCTCTCTCGGGGCCCTCTTCGGCCATCTTCAAGCCATCTCGGGCCCTCAGGGGCCTCGCTGAAGCTGTCCTGGGGCCCAGTAGGGAGCGCTGGGAGCCCGGGAAACATGTTCCCAGAGAGGCTTCCGGGAACATGATTTCGAACGGGGCCCTCTGGGGCCTCCCTGAGGCCGTCTTGGGGGCCTCCTGGGCCGGCTTCGGGGCCTCCTGGGCCGTCTCCGGGGGTTCGGTGAGCCCCACAGGCCGACCTCTCTGGGCCGTCTGGGGGCCTCTGGGGTCTCTCTTGGGCGGTTTTGGGGCTCCTCGGGGGCGTCTGGGGCACTGCGAAGACGAAGCAAGCAAGTATGCTGAAAATGTACGCTAAAAAAATTGACAGATTTTTGCCTTTGAAGGCACTCTCGGGGCCCTCTTCGGCCATCTTCAAGCCGTCTCGGGCCCTCTGGGGCCTCGCGGAGGCTGTCTTGGGGCCCAGTGGGGGGCGCTGGGAGCCCGGAAAACATGTTCCCGGGGAGGCTTCTGGGAACGTGATTTCGAGAGGGGCCCTCTTGGGCCTCCCTGAGGCATTTATTTGTTCGCCAGCGTCCGCTGCCCCTTCAACATGCGCGCGCAGCGCTGCTAGTTGGGCTCGCCTGCGCGGAAGACACTGCCTTCGCCAGGGGATGTCGCTGGACAGAGCGGCGGGCCATGCTGCTGGCCCCAACTTGGAAACGCCCAGGGGTCATGCTCTAGAGGCCTGCGCGGAGGCGCGGAAGAGGGGGCGCTGGGAAACAAAAAAATCATGTTGCGCATGTGGCGTTTGCCTTCGCAAGCGCACGTTCAAACAGGATCAAAACTCCTTCTCGCAACGCTCGGTTAGGACTCCTAACCAGCGGCGATGGGGTCTACCCGCGAGGATTGAAGGCCTGCCGAACGCAGGGAGCAGAAAGGCGCATCTGCGGACCTATGCAAAAAGAGGCACACAACAAGCACCGATGTAAGCATCAAGAGTCTGTAGCTTCAAGCGGCAGGTTATACCGAACACAGCCCCTACACGTTGCATTGCAGAGGTCAACGAACGGCTATAAGGAGGCGGATAAGAAACTGCAGGACGCGTGTACTTAGCACGTTGTCTGCAAGGCGACGCAAACTACACGACGATGGCTGCGGCTATGGTCGTCTGCTTCTGCCCTCTTGTCGTGGTTTATCTCAAAAGCGCCCTGGGCGTGTTTTTTTAGCGTTTTCCAGCGTGGGCTCTTGACAGGCTGATCGTCGCGAAGTCTGGCCCCGGCCACGGGGTCAAGCCCGGCGGAAGACGGCAGCCCGAGACACGGATGGTCACCTGATATGGCCAGGAGGGCCTCTTCTCTAAGTGAGCAGTCTCGAGTGGCAAAGTTCACCGAGCGAGAGACGCTAAAAGGGCCGCGCAAGGGGCCAGCGGTCCTGGGCGGATCCGAGCCGATCATCTTAGCTTCCGGGCCTTCCCGGCATGCGCCAGAAGCCAGGCCAGAGCGTCGGGCCCCACCCCGTGCCAGTCGGAGGCGGTCCACGGCGGCCGCTTCCCAGCGATCATCGCGTCTTGGATGCCGTGCTCCGCTGCGAGGTGGTGTATCTCGAGCTGCTCGTGGTGGCCGTCGGCGGTGGCGGTGCCGCCGAAGCCGAACAGCTCCTGGCACAGCGGCAGGAAAGCCACGAAGGCCATCAGGCCGGTGGACGGGACGTGCCCAGCGAGCTCCGAGAAGCCCCAGGAGATGCCCGCGATATCGGGGCGGACCTGCCCGATCAGGGAGTGGTTCCCGCTGCTGCCCCACCGCTCCACCAGCTCCTGCAGGCTGGGATTCCCCCCCCTTCTGCGCGATGGCGGCATTCCTGCAGTTGTCCAGCTCACCGCAGCTTGCCGTGGGTGGCACGTCTCCGCTGCCCTGCAGGAGGTCCTCCAGGGTCATCAGCTGCACGTGCTCCAGCAGCGCCTGCTGCTTATTGAGGAAGAACACATCGGTCTTGCTGCCGAGGCTTCTCTGGATCTGCCCGCGGGGGATGCGGTTGATGCGGATGGCGGTGTCGTAGGAGTCAATCTGCTCCCCGTCCGCCCTTTCAAGCAAGGCGCTCGACGAGCCCACCAGGGCACACCTGCACAGCTCGCTAACGTTTCCGAAACTCTTGCCAGGCACGAAGTCCAACATTGACGCAAGACCCAACCTGCCCTGTCCGTCGCGCGGGCTGTGTGCCACCAGCGTCACTGACGCGCCGACAGGGTAGTTGCTGGCCAGGGGCGAACGCAGAATCATGGAGCCGCGCTGCAGGGAACCGACTTTGCAGTCCTCCTGGGTGCCGACGGCCTCCAGCCTGACAGTGTCTCCGACGCTGAAAGCTTCGAGCTCCATCACCTCCAGCACCGAGTCGCCACCTTTGGCAGCCTTAAGCAAGGTCGTCACCAGCGGTGGCAACGCCGGAGCACTTTCTCCGTTGGCATCGGCCTTACCAACTCCGCCGTCGTCGACTGCACCAGGTTGCTTATCGGAACTCTGATCCAGCGGCGGATTCGCTGGAACATCGTCGTCGGCATCAGCCTCGCCACTGCCCTTATGGTCGCCAACGCCTGGTTGCTCGCTTTCGCTGCTAGCATCGGGCTCACCAATGCCGCCGTCGTCGCCGGCACCAGGTTGCTCATCGGAATTCTGATCCACCGGCGGCGTCGCCGAAGCCTCGTCGTCGGCATCGTCCTCGCCACTGCCGCCGTGGCCGCTAGCACCTGGCTGCTCACTGGAACTCCGAGCCTGACCTGGACCTGTCATCGCGAACAGCCTCCAACAACCGTCGAACGTGCTCTTGCACTCGCCCTTGTACCTGTAGCAGCTTCCGCGCCCGGGCCCAGCGCCGGCGCAGTCCGAGTGCTGGAAGTTGAACAGGACACACCCGTCCTCGGCCGCGCAGCGCTCGCCGCAGGCGTCCATCGAGTCCTCGGTGAGGACGCCACGAGGTCCTCCCGATCAGAGCACCCCGTGCCGTTGTCGACCCACCTCGGCACAGCCGCGCTCACCGCGGAACCCAGCACCGACCGCACCACGGCCGCGGACGCGAGGCCCGACGCGGCCACGAGCGCGCCGGCTCCGGCGAGCGCGGCGCCGCCCGCGAGCGGGCACATCCGGCGTCGGCACCCTGCCGCCGGAAGCGACGGCAGCCCGTCGGAGTCGGCGCCGGCCTCGGCTCCGCCCGCCCCCTCGCGCGGCACCGAGCGCCCCCGCTCGAGGCCTCGGCGCGGCACGCCAGCGTCCCCGTGCCCTGCGGACAGCATCGGCTGCTCCGCGTCGGCGGGAGGCCGCCGCATCGTCGTGGGGCCGCTCGTCCTTATGCGCGGGAGGCGGACGTTGAGCCTTGAGCCGGATCCCTTGAACCAAAATGGCTACGGAGGGCCTCCCTGAGGCCGTCTTGGGGGCCTCCTGGGCCGGCTTCGGGGCCTCTTGGGCCATCTCGGGGGGTTCGTTGAACCCCAGAGGCCGACCCTTTTGGGCCGTCTGGGGCCCTCTTAGGTCTCTCTTGGGCTGTCTTGGGGCTCCGCGGGGGCGTCTGGGGCGCTGCGACGACGAAGCCAGCAAGTATGCTGAAAATGTGCGTTTTACAAAGGAAATAAACAGATTTTTTGCCTTTTGAAGGCTCTCTCGGGGCCCTTTTCGGCCATCTTCAAGCCATCTCGGGCCCTCTGGGGCCTCGCGGAGGCTGTCTTGAGAGCCTCATGGAAGCCACTTGGGGCCTCTTGTGGCCTCTTCGGAGGCTTCTGGAGACTGAGGGCTGGAATTTTCGGCGAGGGGGCCACGATCCTCGTGAGGGGTGCCAGAAAATGGCCCGGGGGGGGCCCCATGGCGACCAGAGGCACCAGCCGGGCCCCCCCCCCGGCCTACTCCGATATATCTATATGTCTATATATATACACACACATCTAGGTGTGCTATGAAACCAGCCGGCCCTTCGGCGTGTGTGAGACACTGTCGTCGTCTTCGTGGTCGTTGTCGATCCCAAAGAAGCGGAGGAACGAACGGAGAAAAGAAACGTTGTATTTCAGTCGATTCCCTTCCGTGTTTTCCTTCTCAGAGAAAGGGTATTGTACAGACAGGGGGGAGGGGGGGGTGGCACCGGGGCGGTTCCAGGGCAGCTTGCCGCCCCCCAGGGGTCCTGGCGGGTCCTGGGGGTGCTCCCCCTGTGGAGCAGGGGGACAGGTGGGTGACCCCCCCTGGAGAGGGTGTCCTGGTGGGGGCCCACAGCACCCACGAGACTCGTATCCGAGGCGGCTGCAGCAAGGTGGCAGCAGGACGCGGAGAGGGCACGGCGGCCTTCTTCAGGTCCGTCGAGTTCCGGATCTTGACCTGCCAAAGGGGGTGTGGAAGCGCGGAGGGGGCACTCGCGAACCCTGCCCGCTGCGCGCACTCGAATCGGGCGCTCGCTGACATGAGCAGAGATCAGGGCTCTACTGACACGGCGAGTGGGCGCTGGATCTGAAATGCACCCCGGAATACGAGGCCAACGCCGCCTGATTTGGGCGACGGAGCGCGCCGATTCTGAGCGGAAGCGGGGCCCGTCGCTAACCCACGCGCCTTAATCCGTGTGTGCGCCGTCTCGATGGAAGCAGGAGCGGCAGCAGCAGGAAGCGGAGCGAACACCAGAGTCGTGCGCGCTCGTCTTGGAGGAGCCCGCGCGTGCCCACGGGCATGGGCGTGGAGCGGGAACGAGAAGGGGAATCCCACCAGCCCTCTGGGCGACAGGGGGTCTAACGATGTCTTTCTTTCCTCTTCCACAATCCCTTCTTCCCCTTCGGGGAGGTTTTAACCCCTCCCCCTACCCCCTCCCCCCTCCCCTGGACCTGGACGGGGCGCCCCGCGATGTGTCAGAGGGTCCTTTTATGCACAAGATGGCTCCAAGAGGGCGTCAGAGAGCCCGAGATGACCTCCAAGATCGCTCAAGACAGCCCAACATGGCTCAAGACAGCTTCAAGGGTGTGGAGCGGGAGCGAGAAGAGGAACAGGATACGGCAAATTCGTGCCGTGACGACTCTGGCGTCGGCTTCTGACACCGCGAGGATTGTTGGGCTCCCGCACTTGCGGGGGTCGCCTTTGCGCCTGCGGCGGCCGAGAGCCCGCTCGGACGGACGCCGCCCGACGGCCTCCTCCTCCTCCTCCTTATCCGCCCCTCCTCCTCCTCCTCCTCCTCCTCCTCCTCCTCCTCCTCCTCCTCGTGCTTCCCGATGGCGCGGGATCATTCGGCATCGGCGGATGCCGGGCCACCAGCGGCGTGCCCCCTTGGACGCCCGCACCGGGGACGCCGCCGAATCGACACAACATGCGCCTGCCGCATTCATCAATCTGCCGACTTCCCCGGCACACAACCCTCCTCGCAATGCTGGGCTTCTCTCCTCTCTGTCCGCCTACCGAGGCTGCCGATGTGGCTGCTGCCACCTCTGCGTTCTCGTCCCACCCGTGCTGCTGCCTGCTGCAAAGGCTACCGCCCCGCCTGAAGGTTACCTTTGACTTCTTGTGAATTCCACCCTCCTCTAATTCCTCCAAGTCTTCATACTCCTACGCTTTCCGCTAGTGCTGCTATTATTCCTCCTCTTCGTGATCCTTCTCGACCTGGCCCTTTAGGGCGAAGGTGGTTTAGACTGTTTCCTCTTCCAACCCCCTTCTTCCGCTTTGGGGACGGGTTTACCGTTCCCCTCCCTCCTCCCCCTGGGTTTGGACGGGGGGGGTGGGGCGCGAGGGGTTAGAGCACCCAGGATGGCTCCAAGAGGGCCCAGAGAGCTAAAGATGGTCTCGAACATGGCTCAAGATGACGCAATATGGCTTAAGACAGGGTTGGACCTAAACGTTGTGTTTCGTTTTGGTTTCGTTTTGTTTTTCGTTGTCCTGCACCTCCCTCCGAAAACGAAGAACAAGACACAACCGAAGTCCAGCAAAACACCGTTTAGGTCTAGCCCTGGCTCAAGACGGCTTCACACATTCTCCAAGAGGCCCCCAAAAGCCGCCACAAAAGCGGGGCCCTGTGGCCACGGAACCTCTCCTCTTCCGCCTCCTCCTCCGCCTCCTCCTCCTCCGCCTCCTCCTCCGCCTCCTCCTCCGCCTCCTCCTCCTCCGCCCTCCTCCTCCTCCTCTTCCTCCTCTTCCTCCTCCTCCTCTCTCCTCCTCCTCCTCCTCCGCCTTCTCCGCCTCCTCCTTCTCCTCCTCCTCCGCCTCCTCCTCCTCCGCCTCCTCCGCCTCCTCCTCCTCCTCCTCCGCCTCCTCCTCCTCCTCTTCCTCCTCTTCCTCCTCCTCCTACTGCTCCTCCTCCTCTCCTCCTCCGCCTCCGCGTCCTCCTCCGCCTCCTCCTCCTCCTTCTCCAGAGTACGCTCCAAGAGGCCAACGTCCGTCCAACACTCAGGAGGCCACACAACTCTTTTGGTCTTCACGCCTTTTCGCCTCCGATGGGCCCTTGGGGCCTCGAGGCGGCGCCGCGGTGGGAGGAGGAGGGAGGAGGAGGAGGGAGGAGGAGGGAGGAGGAGGAGGGAGGGGAGGAGGAGGTGGAGGAGGGGTGTAGGAGGAGAGGAGAGAGAGGAGAGGAGAGGAGGAGAGGAGGGGAGGAGGAAGGAGGAGGAGGAGGAGGAGGAGGAGGAGGAGGAGGAGGAGAGGAGGAGGAGGAGGAGGAGGAGGGGAGGAGAGAGGAGGGGAGGAGGGGAGAGGAGTAGGAGAAAGAGGAGAAGGAGGAGGGAGGAGGGGAGGGGAAGGGGGAGGGGGGGGAGGAGGAGGAGGAAGAGGAGGGGGAGGAGGAGAGAGGTGGAGGAGTAGGAGGAAGAGGAGGAGGAGGGGAGGAGGGGGAGGAAGGGAGGAGGAGGAGGAGGGGGAGGAAAGGGAGGAGCTGTTCAAAATCCAACAGCCGTCGCCGCTGCCTTCCGCTACGGGTGCCGCCCAGGCGCGCCAATACCCTTAGTACTTGCAGCAGTGAGCACAAGATCCCAAAATCAATTGGCCAGGGCATAGATTACGCGGAAAGCATCTGTACACCTCTATCTTGCCAAGCCAGGGCCATCCTGGCCCTGGCATTGTGTATACGCCCTCCTGGCCGAGGCCAGGGGGATCTATACACCATACTAGGGCACAGGATGGCCCTGACCTGGCACGGTTGTGGTGTGTAGACGCCTTCGTCGGATAGAAATGGGCAGCCTGGGCCACGGGTTCCCAAAGGATCTGTGCCAGGTCGGCCCCAGGCTTGGCATCCCCATTGGCCACCTCGTTGCACCTGAATCCAGGTTCGGTGATCCGTGGCTGTGACGGCTTGGCGGCGACCAGCCTACCCTCGGGGTTGCCGCCTCAATGAGATGGATGGCTTTTGTTTTGCTTGCAAAATCACCGTCGTTGGCCGAGCCTCGGCTGGTGCCAACAACGGCCGCATTCAGCAGCATGAAGGGGAGGACACTGCCCTGGCCCCGTATGTATGGCCGTGAGCACGTATACAACAAAGCTGGCGGGCACTGGGGTGCGCTTCAGGGCCTGGGTGACACCTTCCAAATCCGCGAGAGGCACCGTCTGGTGCCGTATCCACCCTTCCCCGAGGATTCCACCACGACAAATTTCGAAACCCTAACCGCACCGACGGAGCCTGGACTCGCTGGTATGCTCGTCCCCAATCCCATCTGCGCCAACAGAATAACCGTGCGGGAGTGGGAATCTCACCCCTTCCTGAGCATCCTCTGATGCCCCACTCTCTCACTCAGATCACTTGTCAATGTGAGGGTCGAGCCAACTCCTGGGCACGATGTCGCGGCCAGAAACACGGCCACTGTTCCGGTTCTTCATGGACTTGGGCAAAGAGGTTGCAGACCGTCTCCGCGAAGCCGCCGTCAAGCAAAAGCACATCCACTGTTGATGCTAGATGGCCTGTAAGACAGGACACCGCCTCTAAACTTGGCAGCGGGAGCATCCTTGGCGATCGGCCTGCTCGTGGTACTTGGTGCTCCTCACCAGAACACGCTTCTACCATTCCTCGGGGTCCTCGTTTGCTGTCGAGGAAGGAAGTAGTCAGTGTCACCAGTGGGGCAGCTGAGGTTGTCATCCATTCTGGAAGAGAGTGG